CATATACGTGGTAAAAACACCATTGTTTCGTATTTTCCGATCCTTAAGATTTTGACACGTTTCGAATGTCTTTCACATCATAAATTACCATGGCATTACCAGCTGGTTTCAACAGCTGAGCTAACCATTTAGCTGGAGCCTGTTGACATGAACGATCCATGCTTACTGCCCGTTGGAAGAAATCGGGTTCAATCGAGTTATCTGTGATGAGAATTATTCCCAAAAATTACGAGAACACAATCGAACCAGATTTGTCCGATTGCAATTCCACCATTTCTTTATTTATATTAACCGACGAACTGGACATTGTTCACCTGATCAACCAGTGCGAAAACAGATCAAATAATTGTACTTCTATTACAGTTCGATTTATTCTGTCAATTGGAGTTAAGAGAACTGAATCGAGTAGGATATCATAAGTTGCCAAGTCAAATTCTAACAAGGACGTTTTGTTTATCATGCTAAGTAATAATGAAGCTTACCTCCCACAACTGATGCAAATGCAATAACAATTTCTAAATTAGGAAAATGTAGATTTATGAATGAGAATCGGACAACGGAGAAGTGCCCATTTGAATACTACAGAGAGCAAAGGGCTTTAGTTTTCTGTTTAAATTGGTAGACAAAACAATGAGAACACTGATGTGAACAATCTGCGGTCACATATACCAAGGTGCATGGGCACCTGTTCATCGAGTTTGACATTTAGGTCACAATCGTTTCATCAACAACCGGTGGCGTCGATAGTACGCGCCTCGGCTGATGGTGAAGCGATTATAAACGAAACGCCAAGCTCAGGAGCCTGTAAAACCATAACATCGACCGACGAATGGCTTCACCATCCAAAACCATTGATAACTTGGCAGTGTTCTCAACCAATGGAAGACGATCAGCATCCACTCTAACCACGCGTATCCATGCCTCATTATCAATTTGTGTTAACATTGTTCCTCTACAGAGCATCTGTCAGAAGCCTGCCGTCAGTAGGAATATTCGGCAAGAAAACTTCAAGTCACAACCGTAGAAGAGCAGCGGCGAGATTGCTGAGCAAAGCTGATGAACTTTCAGTCCAAGTGGGATTCGTGGCAACATCACAAATGGTTTGGACAGTGCACACTGAATTCATCTAACATTTGAGTGCAATGCTCAAGTCACCTGGATAGAGAATGCAAAAGATATCGTCAGTACATGCTAGCATCACATCACCCAACTTGTTCATTTGGAAGAGAACAGGCATAAGAAAACCCTCTTGCAGCCTTCGTCTGTTTTGCGTATGCGAACATCACGCTTCTACACACAACCAATACTCTGGAGTAACTTGTTTGCGAGTCATTCATGATCATAATTACTAAATGCGCAAACGAGCTTCGGAAAAACGAATGACCGTCATCTTTGTGAGATAACTGCAATGCTCACTTAAACGATGCCAAGATTTCAAGCTCTCAGCGGAAGACCACAAGTTAACACAATCTTACATTGTGACAGTTGTTCTTATCCAGTCAATTCTCGCCAAATTTCGCAATAATATCTGAATTGACTTCACCAGCAATATTCACATGACTCCACTTGATGCCGCCGGAGGCAAACTAATGCAACCTCCTAACACTACAATCTTTTTCAATTTAACCAATTCTGTTATCGTGTGAAAGCAGAACATTTTCAGATTACGTCCACGAAAAGCGGTCCCATTAAAATCACCAAAACTGCTTGCTGTTAAATGCATCCAGCGGCTAGGCTTCAGACCCAAACGGAATTAACACAAAATAAACAACCATAAGGGCTGTTCCATAAAATACAGCTTTGCTTTCTCGCCCGAAGTATAAAAATTGCTAGTCCCTGACTCCCTTCGTGAGAGAATTCCAGGTTCATTCCATCGCAATTTTCGTCTCCGAACCGGGTACCTCACAAGTGAAATTTATCGATACACTTTCCCCTCATTGGTCATTAGTGCAAAAAAATCGTGCCTTGACCTGGGACTAGCATTTATCGCCAGGGATACACAAAAAGGCGAAGGATGGATTTCTTGAACCGCAGTCAGTAGTGAGATTGTATTCGACTTTTTCATACATGCACATAATTGGGAACCAAATTTATTCCAATTCGTCTGCTCTTTGTGGTTCTACGGGCGCTTCGAAATTCCCGGAATATCATGCTTTTTGAAGCTAATTTGTTTCCGACACAGAATGCTACACCCTGGTACAATTTCGTTCAAAACCTGGATAGACGGCAATAACTTCTTTCTTCAACAATAAGGAGCAATCCCAATCACATTTCAATCGGATCTGTCGGAAGGGAATTGCAAAATGCGAGTCTTGAGAGTAACCATGGTTTCGCTACTGTGAGTGCTTACGACGAATGGGTAGACGCATACGGCCATAAGATACACAAGCTAATGCAACATGACCTAACTCATTATTCTGCAAACAGATGGTTCTCTTGTTACTTTGTTTGGAAGATGGCTCATTTGTTTTTTATACCCAGTTGATTCTACGTTGTTTCTCCACCTTTGTTTGCCAAGGTTAACAAGAAATCACCGGAAAATTTTGTCATTGTGCATATTTATTTCCCCTGGGATTATCTTTTTTATCACTATGCCGTTTTCGTTTTTACCCACTACATCTTCTTGTGACACCATTTTCACGTGAGTATTGCAAAAAAGCAGGTCGTCATTGACAGAAGGATTTCCGGTAACGCTTAACATAGAAACACGGGTCGGATCGTTTAGCTGAATTTTACGAATGTAGTGAAATTCCCTGGTTTTAAGGAAGCTTTTCTCGTAAGTAACAAAAACAACGGTGTTATTTACCAAATCATGCTCATATGGCCTTGATGTTTATGACACGCATTTAAAATAAACCAAGTTTCTTTGCAACAATCTGATTTGTATCACGAGTGTGACTAGAAGCTCACATGTAGAGAGTACACTAAGGAACCATAACGGTGGTTTCCTCAGAGTTGGATGTATGTTAGATGCAGCTAAACTCAAGAACGACGACAATGTGATCGCGAGTTGGCATTTCCGATTTAGGCAATATCTGCAGATGAGTGGACAACGTTTTTCGGAAGCACTCGACCGGTTTCTTAGTTATTGCCGCTCACTAGGTATGCGCATCCGGCCCTCCTTTGTCCATCCACTAGGTTTGATACTTGTACTTTCCGTAGGTGTTACTTAACAACAATTCAATCTGGCCACGGCTCCCTTCCCAAAATGTTACACGTTTTCATATAGTACGTAGAGGAATTAAAACTATATATATATATATATATATATATATATATATATATATATATATATATATATATATATATATATATATATATATATATATAATATATATATATATATATATATATATATATATAGTGTGTAATGAAAAAGAAGTTGAAACTTTTTCGCCTTTTCATCTATATTATTCCAATGTTTCTTGACGGTTCGGTTGTATGAATAACATTCCCATTTAAGGGTCACGATAGTTCAACAAACAAACCATACAGCATTCAGGCCAATGAGTTCTATTCTGAATAAAGTCAAGCCTGATGGCCGCGTCGCTTATCCCGTCCTTGCCTAGCACGGTACGGTAGTCGATGGGCAGGTATACGCAGAACATATCAGAACCATCGAGGTCGATGACGAAAGACAACTTTGCTAAGAGGGCAGCAATCCGTGTCCAACACAGGGCGACGCACCTCGTCATCATTCTTTCGATGTTCCCACCAGATCCGAGCAGTGCATCGAAGACATTGGTTGTCAAACACAGAAAAACGCTGAGCATTCTCAAAGCGAATTGGCCAGGTCTCGCAATCAGATCCAAGACACTGCGAACTGCGACGATACATAACCACGCGTCGACGAAAAGCTAGATGTCATGGCGGTTCACAGGTTGGTGAAAACTGCTCTAGCTGTCGTTTTGTGATGTGATATCCTGCCCCAACACCACTTCCAGCTGCAATCAAGTCCCCTGGAGGCTTGAGATTATCAACCAAATCTCGCTGAAAACCACAAAGGGTGAGTGCAGCCACAGGTTCCTGTCAGTATTTTAAAAACACTACGCTTCGAAGGCGTAAAGTGCTAACCCTATTTGAATACCACAATCGCCTGTGCATTATCAATCAGCAGGCCGATGTCATTGGAATCAAACTACCAATAGTGGATTTCATCTTCACAGCTTTAAAAACTAAATATTTTCGACATTTTATTAGATTTTAATTCTCAAGCTTTAGGCAAGTATACCGTGGTACCGAAGACCACGCAGTTTCAAGTGCCCACAGATAACCACAGAACTACCGTTATCACCATCGAATTTATTAATCCAGCAGCTCTGTGCTGCTATATGGTGTGATTCAGGAAAGAAATCTGGGTGGAAGGAAAACAGTTGTCTAGCAAGTTCCGACAACACCGGTATTCGTTTGACTCTCGGTTGGACAAAGCTGTAGGGGAACAACTAAGCAACCAGAGCACATAACGGTGAGGACAGTTTGAAAGAACCGAACTAAAGTGTTGAAAGGACGCAGTTAGTAACAAGTGAATCAACTGACAGCCGATTCCACGCTCTACATTATTTAATCGCACCCTATATGAACTGCATGAACGGTTCTACATGTTTTACGGACTACATTTATTTGGAAGGTGGAATACAGGAGTGCATCACCTGTCCTGCTTCCTTTGTTACAATATATCACACAGCAATGAGTATTTTCACTTGTCACATCGACGAACATATTGTATTGTATCAAACAAATCACATTTGAAGTGGTTCTAGTTCAAAAAAGAAATATGCGAGTGGGAGGTAAATAAAATTTAAAAAAACGAAAAAATTACTGTCACGAGGCTGGTTGACGGTCATGCAGCTCGTATAACATAGGACGGTTAAATGGATCAAAGTGAATCCGGTGGGTTAGAGGTCGAGGGACGGAGATGCATCAGGAAATGAATACAGTCTCAATTCAGTCAAAAGATGATGAATAGCAGCATCCGGACGCTGGACCACGAAGCGGTCATGCTAAATATGCCACCGGCGACGAACTTTGTGCGTTAAATGGCGGCAGCAATTGCGTAAAACATGATAAAAATTAGTGACCGGATTACGATAGATTAGGCATAATCGCCTGTACACGAGACAAATGATGAATAGGGCAAGTGCATATACAAAAAGTGAATCACGCAACAAATGGAATATATCTGTGGCTAACAGGAATCTCCGGCGTCGTTGACCGCCCCGGACACCCGGCAAGGCCAAATATGATGGCAGCGGTCCGGCATGACAGCCCTCGTCAAAATGGTAAGGTTTTGGTTGAACGAATCGGGGCAGATCAGAGTAGAGAAGCAGTGGCTGCGACTGAAACAACGACCTGTGAAAATAATCGGAAATGACAATGCGATTGTGGGCTTTAGTACAACGTCTCAATGTAATTTCCACAGAGTCAATATTTGGAAAACGTGAGGTGGGAGTATCTGGCGAAATGAAGTGATAATTGACAACCTGGACTCGACTCCATCGTGTCGCGGAGGACGATGCGATGGTATTCCGCAACCACTGACCCTCAATATGAGAATGAACGTTTGAAATACTAACCACCACCATGAAACGCGTTGTGCTCTCATTCATTCCATTTATCTTCAGACGAATCCATCATGAGGAGAGTGAACCTTGAAGTGATGTGATGGCTTGCGTGCATCCAGGACACAGGGACCAACGCTGGATGGCTTCCCTAAACTGAAGATCATGCCTGACAAATCAGTAGGCAGAAGCCACTTGACGGGCAATATCTGGTTCTAACCACTATACCCAGGATAAGGCATTCCAGCAAATAAACAAGGCCAGAAACAATTTACCGGTCTGAAAACCTCCACTACGTAGATGCAGGAGTGGAGTACCTGGGGTTTCTGTTGACGTGGGATATGTCATTGCACTTCATTGGGCAGCTATCACTCACCCAAGATGGAAAGCCCCCGACCCAAAGGATGCCATCCCGTTCACGTTCCGCTTGCTCCATTGGACGGATGAGGCTAACGACTGAATGCGAAAAGCAGCTCGATAACATAGCATCAGTGAAGATAAGACACAATGTGTGCAACAATCAGATCTCACGAGACCAACCAAAAGAATCCTGCCATAAATGCCTTAGTTGTGTGGGCGGATGCCAAGTATGATGTGCCCAGAAATCGCCAGCGGTCACTCGGAAAACATTTCTTATCCCTCTGCTCTTCATCTCTCACGTCCCAATTCTAAGTGGATGCACAGAGCCAAAATGAGTCGTGTCGGATAACTTGTAGCTCTGCTCAAGAGGCTATAACTTGGAGACAGGAGGAGATAGAGAATTGATTCTCAGACCTAGGCATCCTTATCACTTTGCTGCTTCGGACGGCCACACACTTTGCAAACGGGGCAACAAGCTGCCCTAGCTAGAACTCGTGAAACCCCTAACATTGATGTGTGTTGTGTCTCCGAAATACGCATACGAGACCCCACTTTAGTGTTAACATTTCGCTCCCCAGATACAAACTCAGCTTCTCGTTTCACTGTTCGCGTGTCCGATGATCTGGTGTATAGCGCTCGTGGTCAGGCTGGCGTTGGCATAGTTCTGAGCACGAAAGCTGAGTGCGCACTGCTCGATTGGACCCCAGTCAGCAGTTGCCTGTGGGCGATTCGCTTGAACGGTTCTGTGCATGTCAACAACACTAAACTAAAACGTAGATGCCTGTTTGTCTTTTCTGTGCACGCTCTAACCGACTGCAGCTCTCATGATGCTGAAGACTCATTCTATCACGATTTGTCTCAACTGCTCCGCAGCGTGCGCTCTACGTTTATCATGGATCTTCGTGAGATGAGCTATCTTAAACGGCATAACGCCCTCGGACCGGATGGGTTGCCTTCGTCTATTTTCAAAGACAGTGACCGAGCACTTTTACTGAAGTTGACAAAACTGCTCGGTTTGATATAGGAGAAGAAACGAGTTCCAAAGAGTTGGTATGAATCGGTGATCGTACCGATTTACAAGAAGGGTGACAGGTCTTCCTGTGAAAAGTACAGGCGAATAAGTCTGCTCAGCATCGCATCCAAACTACTAGCTGATATTATTCTGCCCGGCCCAGCTAACGCTCCCGAACAGTACTGGCGCGAGAATCAAGCTGGATTTAGGTCTGGTTGTGGTTGTTTTGGTCACATCTTCACTCTTCGACAAATTTTAGAACATAAACACACTTGTAAGCTCACTATCTTCGTTTTCTTTTGCCTTAAAACGGCCTTCGACTCAGTTGACCGCGCAGTTCTCTGGAGCTGCCTCTTGTCGAAGGATGTACCAGAGAAAATCATTTCCACCCTGAAGTCCCTGTGCACGAATAGCCCAAGCCAAGTTCCGGTTTACAGTGATCTTTCACCCGAGCTCACCACATGGAGTCGTGTACGATGGGGTTGCCCCCTTTCCCCTTTTTTGTTTCGTGGTTGACATGTTCCTGGAGACCGCACTTTTGTCAGGTGAGGATAGTGGCACTGAACTTGCCCCGGAAGAAAACGTGTCACACCTTGAATATGCGGACGATATCTTTCTTCTAACTGAGTATCCGGGTAAGTTGGGAGCTCTTATTGACGGCTTGGAGGACTGCGTGGTAATGTTCGGTATGCGTTTTGCACCTTAACAGTGCAAGATGATGTTGCAGAACCTGGCTGGTGGCACGAAAAAACCTTTTAGTGTTCGGAAAAACCATAGTCCAGACAGACAAGTTCGGTTATCTAGGCAGCTGCATTGCCCTCGGAGGCCGGATATCGTATGAGATGTCTATACTATATACGTCAAACCCGCTGACTCCCAGAGGACTCGTTGAATCGAAAATCGAAGAGAATGGAGTAACAAAACGAAAAACACAACACAAAAAACAAAATACATATGTAAATATACAGAAATATCAAGACAGATTTAAGGCGGTTGAACATTCCGAAACAGAAAGCATTGAAAAAGGTCCAAAGCCAAGTTACCAAAGTTGAAGGTTTGTCCTGTAAATTGGATAGGTAAACTTTCTGTAATTAGTAACTTGTCAAGATCAAGGTCACCCAAGAGGTCAATGTCGAATCAAGAAGCCAGTTCCATATATGTGCAAACGAGAATGGAGATCACCACCTGCGCACTGAAAACGTCGTCTCAACTGGTGATGAAACATTTGCGACCCAAGCGTCGGGCTCAGCAATCAGACACTGTTGAAAAACACCAACAAGAGCTACAATCAACAATAACTTTGGAAGGTATCGAGATATTCTAGATTTTTTGTACTATTTCGGCTTAAGTTTACCGCTAGAAGATAGCAACCAGAACCACCGTAACAGAACTTGGGCAATGGTTGTGATAGCCGAGTTGTAGACGAGTGCCAAGGCAACTGAAGTCGGTCTCAGGCTACACGAAACATCCAACCACCAGATACAAATGTTTTAAAACGAGTGCGCTGGTTTTCCCCAATGATACAACAATACTGCACTGAGTTTTTGATTTCAAAAAGACAAGACTAAGTGGAACAATTGAGTGTGAGTCTAAGACCTCATGCTCAAACTGTGCTACATATTCACTTCAATTTACGTGGGGCGTTCAAAACAATGGGATAAAAAACCGCCAACACTCGGCAATATCAAGACATGAACATGAATCGAAGATAAATTGCTTCTGTAAGCTATTTCTAAAACCGAAGAGGCAGTATTTGTGAAACACAAACAGTCGAGGATTTCTCTGTGTTGTGTATCGACCTGCTATTATACAATCGAAACGAAACGGTCAGTCACTAGGGCATTTAACTGAACAAGACAAGAAAAGGTCGATTTCGTGTTTCTATCGTGTACTTCGGTGCACTATCAGGCTGATCAGTGGTATTCAGTGAGTAATACAGCTCGCTACAGTTAGATGCTGTGAAGGACAACCGCGCTTTTCCCCCGGTATGTTTAATGGGTGTGCTCTTTACGATTAAAACGAAGGAATCCAACGGTGATCATCCAACAACATTTATGTTATAGAGTCGCAAATCTCCCTGAAAACATTATTAGCAAGGCTGCAGTCCACATTCTTCCAACCCACGGACACGGTGCTTGGTGAACACGAAACAATGACAAGGCCCGCATATCCCACATGGCAGTGCAGTCGTGACGCGTGTACCCATGAACCAATCAGTCTATCACAAGTCACTGTTCGCAACCACCACTGACAGACAACCTACTGCCTATCCTTCACATCAACCCGCCGACCAATCAGACTTCTGACGTACTGTGATCCGACCTACCCAATCACATCTTTGCACCAGGCTGGGGAATCAATAACAACGTCATATGTGTCCATGCATTCCTTGCCTCATGCTATAGAAAGTGTTCATTTCTGGTTACAATCGAACATAGTTTCCGCACTTTGTTCGTGGCTACTTCCTAATGAAAAAGTCCGTAGCAGTGGGCATTCAAAAATCCATAACTAGTATGACCCAACTTGATTTAAATCGCGCATGGCACCCACATAAGACGTGGCTAGTTTCCCGTTGGGATTGAATGGTCGAGGAATCATTGGCCGTGTTAATTCGGAGATTTACGTACCGACTCAACAATTTCCACTGGCTAGTTTTTGATCAATGAGTAGAACGATTTTGAAGCTTTCTGCTGCGCCTGCTCACAACAGACATGCCTGACTGAAGCAATCTTCATCTTCAGAAAGTTTGTCACTGCCTATCTGATCGAGTTTAACGTCCAAAATGTTCCTTGAAATGGTGAGCACAGAGGACCGACAACTGTTCGATCGGAGTTGAAACAGATATCCGCAAAAAGCTGAACACCTGATGGCACCGATGACGCTTTCGTTGGGCTTTATTAAATCACCACTATCATGCTGGTAAATGGATAGCGGATTTGTTTGCTCAACAAGCAAAATTCGGAAAAAAGAGTATTACTGAAATTTCCTCATGATGACCAACTTAATTCTTAATTATTACCGAACATACAGAGCTGATGAGGACTATCGCTCACGGTGGCTGACCTGTGGAAGTCCTTTGTGGTGTTCATTGGTTGGATTTGACTGCTTGGCAACGTAGGGCAATTAGGTATTTCACGATAAGCTTCTCGGGGTAGCACACCATTGAACTCCTTGTGCGGTTGATCGTTCCGAAGCACATTACTAATTCGATGGAGCAAAGATCCTGCGTGAAAGCGGATAGTGAACAGAATGTCAGGTGTCATAGCGATAAGAGTTCAGGACTACAAACTAGATGCTGAGACTTGAGTCGATAAATTACACTGGTACCCAACCAGTCAAATACGGAATTTCGATTACATGATATCGGAGAGTTGTCGCTCATCTTCCTGTTTGACTGTTGGTGATGACCTCCTAACCGACATACTTCAGTCTATAGGCCAGCAGTTACTATTCGATCATCATCCGTCAGATCGGGAAAACGGAAAACCAAAATGGCCTTTGGGGAAGAAGAAATAATCATTGTTAACCACCGTATAATTTACGAATCAGGAGCGTAAGTGGATTCGTCTTTTAGAATAGTCCACTGAGAAACCACAACGGTGCCTGATTTTCGGATACATCGAACAGATCAATAACGAAAAAAGGTCCATTGCATTGGACATTCAACATTCTATAACTTGGGTAAACCAACTGTGAAGGGACTGATTTTTGGTGGTGGTTGGTCCAACATGATTTTAATCGTGTGGGACACCTATATGAGACGTGACACTCAATAATTGCTTGCCTAGTCTCAGTACACCCTCTGTGAACTCCCAGATTCTGTGTGGTAGTTAAACAGAACCAGGATAAATGATAACATCAAATCTCCGGTAAGTTGATTTCCAATATACACCACGACAAGACTGCAAAAAATAGTGCTGCGACCAAAATTTGGAGTTAAATTCAGATGAAGGTTGTCAATCCAAAATTTCATTTCTGTGAAACTGCTTGGAAGTAGTTCGGGATGAGAGCAGTACAGCGAAGTTCAAAACGGCATTATGATCTGAAGTCCATTGGTTTACTATTTTCGACGACATATTCGCGTGATGAACAAAATAAGTGAGATCGCCTCCAGAAAGCCCTCAAAAATCGAGATCGATGATGGATCAACATGGGAAGAAAACACACAAATGTGATGTTGCACAGTTTACATCTGGGACGGTTTCGCCGTATCTTGTCAGGAGCAAAAAACAGTCAAAACAGTAAACACTATGATCAGATTTACTCGATGTCCAGTGTCTATTGAGTGGGGAGTGGAGGAGGGCGATGGACGATTCCGATCTGTATTGGGGTGACTTTCAGCTTTGACCGTTTATTGTGATTCTTTTACAAGTTTCTCGACCCACAACGAATGGGTTCAGTCATTCAAGCTGTCTGGTTAAACAGTCAGCAGCGTTTGATGTGGACTGCGATCTCGTGGTTGAGTGTCGCAGTCTCCGTCGCCAGGAACGTTTTCCCTTTTGGAAGCTATAATTCAGTCGTCTTTCCTTAAAAAAAAAACTAAGTTGCCGCAGTGAAACTGACCAAATACCCAAACTGAGCTATGAGTTTCGAACCCACATCAACAGCGAACTTTGGTCGCAGAGTTCCCAGATCATCCATTTGGTATTTTACCGAATGTAATAGGATTTTATGCGGTTGCGTCACATCGTGTCAGTGTTATGATTGTCAGTTATCTCCGGCGACGGTAGATGGTGAAAACTGAAAAGAAATTTAAAATCCAGAAAAAACAAAACAGCCATTGTAGACAGGTTTTACTAGCCACATGCAGCACGTGAGACTCATTTATCCCAACCAATTAGGGACGCTGAACAAATTGGTCATTGATAAGTTCTACCAAAACCCTATGTTTGGAATTCAATCCATCTCATGCGAAAATGACTGCAAATTTATTTAATGTAAGCTTGATACATCAAGTGAATGATAGTTGACCCAGTACATGAATTAACGGCAATCAAAATAACAAAACAGCCGTCGTCTATCTAACAACAGAGTGAGCGGACAGCAAACGGAGCGTTTTCAACTACGGAAGCGTTACTTCATCCGCATAATCGACAAACTTGCAACACACGAAAACCGAAGTGGGCCCGCAAGTGATGAATTTTCGGAGTGTTTGCACACGGGGACAGAATGCACTGATGGGTATATCAACGAGGCACAATTCATCAAGTCAGTCACATCCAAAAAGGTTCATGTCAGCTGGAGTGATGTGACATGTCGTGTTGATTGATTTTCCCATTAGGGTAACGGAACAGTGAAGCTGACCGGAGAGTTTGAGTGTGCCACCACAAGCATTAGTTGCAGTCACTGAGGTTGGTTGGATGTCTGGGTGTCCGATAGCGTTCTAAGTCTTCTCCGAAATAATGGAAATGTCTGACGCTGTGTCTAACTGTAGGCAGACTAGATGGTGGTTGATGTAGACGTCTACAAATTTTCGTTGTTCAGCAACGTTTATTTGGAAGGTTGCAGTCGGTCCGTACGAGTGGACGGGTGAGTGGTCGTTATTGATTTTGGGTTTGAACATACGTACCGGTTTCTTCCAGGTCGAGTGTCTTGGTTGACAATATCCATCTCTATGACCGAAAGAGTGACAACGCGTACAACGGTGGTATTTAAATGGACAGAAACGATGAAAGTGGCACGCACCACAATGACGACACGGCGAAGGCAGCTTGTTGAGGCTCGGTGTATGAAAATTTGTCGGATTTCTCTTGGCTGGAAATTGTCTGTGTGTCGTGAGTTTGTTGACTGCTTGAGACGGGTGAACGGACTGTTGAATCGTAGTTGCGTCATGTTTCAGACTGATTAAACGTACACATGCGTCAACCAATTGTTGTAGGGTTGTGCTGGGCTCCTGATCAATTTTCGTCAGCAATCTGATGCGTAGATCTGATTGAGTGGGTGACTGTAACCCGCAAATAAAAATCAAACACCGAAATTGGTCTTCAGTCAATGATCCCAAATTGAAACGTATACACTCACGGTTCACGATGCCAGAATATGTCACGAGATCGTCGCCGTCCCGCTTCAAAAATTTGAGGCATTGATAACTTGCGTTGAACAATGATAAAGTCTCCCCGAGGATGATAATCGTCATGAAATGAATGGTCGCGGGGGACATCAGGTACAACTTCCGCAGCAAGAATCGCACTTTTGTTTCGTTATTCTTGTTGGAGAGTTCCACGGAGCAGATGTCTTCGTCACGACAAGACCACCTTGATGTGGTGTGATGGCTTGCGCGCCTCTATGACCCAAAGAGCTATACAGGATGGCTTCTTTAAGCCGGAGATGCAATCATACCTGACCGGTCAATGGGAAGACGCCAGACAAAGTCCAGTCTCCTGGTCCTCCAGGTTGAGGGTCGATTTGAGCTTGCAGCTCAGTCGGCAAAATCAGTGGAAGAATAATTGATCCAAGCAAATGGGCTTCCACTAAGCCATCTCGCTGCCTTGCGGATAGATTCTTGTTAGAACTAAAGGCTTTCGATGAGGACCCTGATCGTTCTCTTGCTTTGTGGCTGGACACCCTAGCAGTACCCGTCAAACATCTCCAATGAAGTAGTACTCTAAGAAACGTAGATTGTAACTGACCGTTTCATTTTAATAAATGGATAAATATAAACTAACCTGGAGGACGAGATGGTCTGTTAGATAAAGGATCCAGCTCATTACCCGGTACTGACACATGCTCGGCCAAAGGTGAAGGGATGTGTCCAAGACGACTGTTAGTAAACTGTAATGCGGCGTCCAGAAGCCAAAAGCAATCTGATGAGTCGTGTTGAGTAATAAACATGTACAAAGAAATAGTCTTCAGTTTTGGGAAAAATGCACAGTAAAATATAAAAAATATATCATAACGGAAACTAATGAAGCCGATTGAAGTAAAGTAAACGAATTACACAGCCGGATGTGAACACTCAGCTTCCCCGTTACCATTCTAATACAAGTACAAAAAGCGCAAATTGTGAATATAAATGTTCAATGCAGTACGTTCTTCCGTGCGTTGGTTTATGAAGAAGGTAATTGTAGAGGACTTGTAAGCAAGCTAATGTTTATAGCAGGATCCAGAAGCACTTGAAACACATTTAGACAAATGAGGATGAATGGGATGTCACTGGTCATTCAACATCTTTAAAAAAAACTGGACAGACGTGACAGTATTGGGATATTCCATCTTGGGCGAACCGACTATAGGGGATCCCTAAAAGTCAAAAGAGATGCCTGATGGATCTGACTATAAGTCCTGGGAATTTAGCAAGAAAATCCGAGAATATTACGGGGGAAGTAAAGACCCAGTATGGTAAAATACATACCCATACAAAGCATATAATTGAAAGAAGTAGAGAAAAACTTCAGCTGGAGTACGTATCATGAAAACCGCAGTTGCATAGTGGAACCAAAGAAAACAACAACGTTTTTGCAGTGTGCTAACTGTCCGCAAGTAACTCCGGATTGGAAGCAAACGCATCTGAACACAAAGCTTTTGTGAAGGGCAAATCACGCAAAGGAGTACTTGGAGAAATTCATGTTGGGCATGAGCCAAGAAGGCTAGCTGCTGAGTTTGGCCGCTTTGATGTACCAGTTGCTAAACGGAACCATCCGGGTTGTATTGTGTTGCATCGAGGACCTTAGCAAGTAAACAAACTCACATTTCAGGATGCCTCCCAAAGAATTACAGCATAAGCGTAATTTATTAGCAAACAGTCATAGTACACAGGCGTGGAAGACACAAATGGAAAACACTACAGGTGGTATAACAGCATCCTGCGAAACATCTAGCCTAGGAGAGAACAGTGACGCTGGTAGATGAATATGAGTGAATTGTTGGCGATTAGAAAATTAAATAACAGCACCATGACAGATGATTTGATGACAAAATACGGAGCGGTACGGGTCTGTCGACAAAGCTAAACGCAACACTGTAGTTGAAAGAGCAAACTCTGAACCACTCAATTTCGCGACCAAACGATGACGAAAAAAAAGCTGTGGACTAACGAGATCTACGATTGAGAGGATACATCGCGACGCGAATTGGTCTGTAACCAAGATTTCAATTCATTCAACCTGTTACCTCGCGCTTCTGTACACTGATTTCGTTGCTACCGCGCAGCATCGTCGAGCAAAGGGTAAAAAAGAAACGTAAACTGAGAACGCATCGGACACAGGGTAATGACCAGAAATCATGAAGAAAAAGAAAGAGCTCGAACGCGAACACGCTGCTAGCCGCGACACCCAGTCATGTTATTCAATGCAGCCAATCACCTGGTACGTGGGTCTCGTGGACCCCAACCCGGGAATCTCACAAGTACCACTGCGCCAGGTCCACTAATCAAGGTTTTCATATATTTATGAATTGTCAGCACGACCCGTTTACAATCACTACCTGCATCGGAGAACAGCGTACACCGAGGAAGTCCATCGGTGGGCATACATAAAACACGTACCAGCCACCTTAACCTGTTCAGATACAGTAACTGTTCCAGTGAATGATTACTAGTTCACAACACCCTATGCCTTACCTAGGCGTTGTTGATACGGTGTTCTAACTACACTCGAGCAATACTACGGAGACAACGATGCTCAAAGACCGACAGTCTTCACCTATCACCCTTAACGGGCATATTTTTGGGCCGCATAAAAGAACTAATCTAACTGCCGAAGTATAAACGCGCCCCCCGACCGACAATCGAATGGCATGCCGGTGCCACAGATGACTGAGATTTGCAAAAGCCAAACGGGCCTTCTGTAATCACGGTGAAAAATCATCCGATATGTGACCACTAGGTGAGGTGTAGTTGCCCAGGTAACAAAACTTGTATGCGTTAGCCAGAACTTTCCCTGCAAAGACAACATTTGGTGTACCGCCAAACCAATTCTGCAGCAGCGTTTGACACTTTGAAGGTGCAAAATGCATCCCAAACATTACTACGTTGTTTATTAGACTACCTAAAGGAGGTTGCAAATTACCTGGATCTTCACTGAGAAGAAGGTTATCGTTCGCGAACTCCAAAACGGACAGTTAACTGCTTGAGCATAAACTGATGCCTCTATTCTCACACGAGGATTGGACTATCTCAACAATCACTGCAATCACAAAAAATCAAAGTGACAAGGCGAAAGAGGCCAACCCTAGTGAGTACCCCTTTCCTCTTCTGGATTTTATAGGACAGCAACGATTATCCGGGAGGGTGCAGACACTTTAGCACGTGTAGACAGATAGATTTTGAAGCACGCGAAGGAGGACATGGTCGGTGCCGTTTGTATTGCCCATATTCTCACCTCGGTACGCTCGACAATCTTCCACAAACCAGGCCCAGTGAGCTCTCATCAGGATGTGCAGCTGGTGTGCAGTGTGACCATCGTTGGAGTACCATGTGAGTAGGTGCTTCTTGGGGTGTTGAAATCAAGTGCTGCAGACAACCATTCTGTTAACGTCGACTAAACCGATCGATCGGCCACCGTTCTTACAGTGCTGACCAAGACCGAATTTCCCAAGAATATGGCGAGTGGATTCAGTGGCCGTGCCTATACGAGCGTTCCAATCTCCTGCGATGAGAAGTATATCGCGCCTCGAAACCCGGTTGATTACCTCCTGCAAATTATTGTAGAATTCGTCTTTGGTTTCGTCATCAGCCGAATCGGTTGGAGCATAGATCGCAATAACCGTCAAGTCGTGCGGGGAGCCTCTAAAACGTGCCAAGGCGAGCCTGGATGAGACTGGTTCCCAAGAGATCATTGCACCATTAGCTGCTTTGTTCAGAGCAAACGCGATACCGTAGAGACCGCAGTTGTCTTTCGAGCCACTGTGATAGAGCCAATAAGATGTATCCAGTCCCGGGACCTTTATTTGTCGGCTACCTGAGTTGGGCAGGCGTAAGTCCGAGAGGTAAGCAATATCCAAAAGATAGTCAGGTGGAGTCCACACTGTGATACATCGGCTACCGACGTCTAGAAACGTCCTGACATTCCAACAGGCTACACGTGTTCGCCTTCTGCAGCAGGTAATCCCAGCTTGCTCTTTTATTACCTCGATCGCTTGGACACGAGGCGCGTCGCTTACCGGGGACGCCGCAGCATGATCAGCGTCTGAAGTTCGGTAAATAATGATAGATAGCCGCGGGAGTAGGGTACGAAATGGTGTCCCCAGCCCCGTTCTGCCGTTTTGTTCGAGGTTGAACATCTAGCCTTTGCACACCCAAATGCAGACTGCAAGGCTGCAGGGTGTTTCCAGAGGCGCCGGTGGCCCGTTGTGCGATTCATTTCCCTCTCTTTCGGAATGCCAGGTCCGGAAAGTTGGACAGTTTACTTTTGTAGCCGTTGGATCTCATCCGCCCATTCAGGGATATCCTTCTTCACATTCCGGACACCGTCTCACCAAAGTTTTTTAGACCTTGGTAACCCTAAATCTGGTTCACCCAACCTGTCGAACGGTTGCCTGGGTGGGGCCGCTGATCCATGCTTCAGCTTTGCGGACCCACAGGTGAGAGTTGGGCAGCTGATGGAGACCCAGAAAATGGAGGATGCTTCAAGGGACATGACGACCAACCAAGTCAGAGGTGCTACACTTCTCAGACACACGTACTACCCGTGATCCATACAACCTCGACTGGGTCTGAAACCGGCTTGGGTGCAACGCATTGACCTGGTGAGATGGTCTTTGCAATACAAGTTGTTCAAATGCTTCAAAGTCTGGTTATGTTCAAGTAATGGGATGTACTCTGCGTGTGTACATTTTAGGTATCGGAGTGATAGGGGCTACCGTTCAGCAGCCACAAACCAAGGGTAGATTCGGAATGCTAAAATCAAGTACACTGGGAAACTTAGGAAGTTTGTGTCGATCAAAACGCCAAACAATGTACCATCGGTCCAACGGTGTCAGAAAGGAATACAAGTTCACGTTTAGTGGAAACTAGAATGAATCGCATAGGGAAATCAATCAGAATCTGCTCGTTGCACACTGAGTTATCTAGCCATTAAACTTGAGCGGCAACCAGTGATTTGCACACGGCTGTTGCCAAACCATGAAGGACGAGCCACGGGTAAAAAAGCCAATTCAGCGGTCAGACAGAGTTCAATTCACCAAGATAATTCTTCGGCAGGCATTACTACGGATGATTACCAAATCAGATTAGCTTGGCATACGTTCGCTCTCATTCAGGCGGCATGAATACAGTAAACTCGTAATGGATGACAACGATCTCTGACACTCAAAAAAGAGCACAGTGACGTCTCTACATAAAGTCACTCGAAACAAGAAACATTTTAATAAACAGCCCGATCTTTTCTCCAAAAAAGATCAATCATTAGGCAATTTCAATGTAGGGAAAACCATTTAAAAATGATTATAACATTCATCTAGTCCCCGCTTAACTAAATGAAGTTGGCTGAGAACCGATGTGTGAATGATTCACGAAACTGAAAAAAATGCAATCAATCAGGTAAACTGGCGGTCTAGCATCTCAGTGGCTCTGGAAAGGCTTTGATGAAACTGTACACAATTGCGCTTTAATCCTCTTGACTTTTGATCACCTATACGCGTGTATTTCCTCTAACGTGATTCAGCGGTCTGGCTTTAACAGAACGCTAGTCTGACAGGAGCTGCAGAGTTGAAGGTTACGTATAGGAGTCCTCTAGTATATAAGTTCATAATCTGCACCATTTTCAGACGTGTTGTTCGTGTCTAATGTGAAATGCCAAATGTGTGCGGTATATTTAACTGAGCATTCCGGTAAGTACACGCAAACGAATTGAAAATACCAACCAAATTGGAAAAAGGTGAGGAGAAAAGTGGAGCAACAGTGCCAGGATTCGCAAAAAGGTCGGGCATACAACTTACTCTCAGTCACGTGTGTGGACGTCAAACAGTCCGCATCCCCATAGACCACCACGCGTCCGATTTGAGTGGAGGCTGTCACCGGAGTCCATAGTCCTAATATCGCTGGACTAGGATCAGTCGGCGTGGCTTCTAAACGCCATACACCTTCAGACTGATCTACATGCGGTATGTTGTTCACTTTGTATGTTGCACCCGATTTTTCTAAGGAATCCCAATTTTTCGGTGAACGAGCCAAAACCTGGGATCCCAAATCGACTAACGGAACACGAAGAACATACCCACGACCCATAATATGTGATATATTCTGGTGTGGAAAGCGACGAAAACTGGAGCCCGACGTGTATGAAACTGAAGTCAAGGATATTAGTTGGATGAGCAAAAATCCGGAACAGCACATTACTTCATCAGTATGTATCAGTACTTCAAACAATCTCTTCCAGTTTATTAAAAAAGTGCATCTGAGGAAAATGTGTTGCATAGAACATTTATAGATAATAAGAAAAGCGGTACAGAATGCGTGGAAACCTGCGTTTTCAAATGGGAGGAGGATTTGTACTCGCCGTATCGTAAATGAAAGTAAGAAAAGACACCTTTTGATTGATGATAAACAAGCGGCCCGAAAATCACGTGGACCACTCGAATGAATTCAACCATTTATCAACCTTCTCACCTTACCACCTGCGTCAATACCCATGTCGAACACTATTGCCCACTTTTCAACCACTACCGCTCTCACTGAACGACGAATGTCGAGGTAATCAAAATGGTGTTCAAATGCGCAACATACAACAATCAAAGTCACATAGTCAGAACGAATTTCCTGTCCATCTAACTGACTGTGAGCATCGAAAAATTAAATCCCAACATCAGCAATGCTAATCTGGAACAACCCAACTATTGGGGAGGACGGGAACTGTAGTAAATCACATTTGCACACACCAACAATGAGAGCACTTAATGCGATGGTATCAGATGACCCAAGCAAAAACATCGAACAAACATTGTCGTTTCTGAAGGAATACAGGTGCACAGAATCTCGACTGCATCTCTGCCGCTACTTTGTGCAATGTTGGGTATGCGCGTTGTTCAGCATATCCTAGAAATGAGATAAAAATGACACTGTAATACATATATTTCCGACAGTGACCAGGGAACACAAATGAGAAAGGAGACACACTGGTAACGGACTGGTGAGCAATACAGGGCATAAGTATTTAGGTCGCGGAACGCATCCGTGTGAGTGCAATGCATTCCCTAGCGGTGAGTTTGTTTTCACGTCCAACATGCTGTTTTCTTAGACACTAAATTCATACGATGAGATATTCATGAAAAGGTCAGCAGTAAGACAGCATGTGGTACGAAATAATCCATGGATGCAGCAGTAGAAAAAACTGCAGCTGGTTAATTAGTGCACAGAATAACCGACAGAAACGTACTTTTTCGACGTCCAACCGTATACTGGCCAGCGTACACCATATCACTGTGTGAGGAAAATTATACATTCGGATACGTAAAGGAAGACCGAAAAAAGCAATGCAGTTGGATATGCGATAAGGTAATCCAGTTAGACAATGGTATAACTGGGTTGAAAGTTCGAGAACACATTGCAGCGAACGCTGTTAGTTCGGATGTAATTGAACATTACAAAAATCCCGTAGGGTGACAATGAAAACAAAGGCTGCCGTTTTTTATTTTACTGAGCCATATTGATTGATAACATACCAGTTCCACATTTTAAACAAATGCATGTGAAATACTGATTGTCACAAGCAAATTGAACACGGAAAAGTAGACCGATGAATACCGTAAACAAACAAATCCATAGGCCATGCACGTTCGAGTAAGTCTAATAATTTTTTCCGATGTAAAATATTTGGACAAATAATGATGCAGTGAATCACCGATGTAATGCCACTCTATGGTTAACTCGTCCTATTTGGCGCATCATAGGTCACCGTCAACAGAACTGATAATGTACTAGTGAGTCACGAATAATTCGTTTAGGGACATCGAACATCGAGGATGTTACAGCCAAAATCGCCCATGAAACAACAAACCGAACTGCAAACAGTGGCCATATGGCTAATGTGGTCCGAACTTGGGATACCCGTCATACCTCATCCCCCCAGCAGTACCTTATACAGATCTTGTACACAATACACGGCAGGAAGACGAAAACTGTAGCATATCTTCCGGTACACACTGAGATATCGGCAGTGTCTAACTCACCCCAGTTCGATTTCGAACGGACGCAGGAGATCATTCAATGCAGGTAGATTGGAACCACCCGTCTCGGGAATCCAAAGTCGCCTGTCAAATTACCGGAGAAAGGTAAAAAGAAAAACGACAAGTTGGAAATTGTTGCTAAGGTCTAACAAAAGGCTGTTTGAACGGTTGGGAAATACCACAAGCAATGCAAAGTAGGAATGTTTTATAAATGAAAAGTCAGCGGTGAATAATGTTCAGCAGAAACCGGAGAAGTAAAACTGAACAGCAAATTTATTCAAAAGTAGAGACAACTTCAAACTTATGTCACGTTGAATGTTTTAGCAAAAAAGGGGACAGATTTCGTGGAATAACCTCATTGTGCGGTCGACGGGCAGAGGACAATGATTTGTGATCTCGTCCGCAATCAATGCGATCGCACAAGTTGTATGAGGCTGTTTCACCTTTACCTGAAAAGTGATAATGGGAACAGAACTAGATTTATTAGTTCATGGGTACGAAATTCTGGACTTCTTCCTCCCACCCAACTCAGTATGGATGATCAATACTTAGGCACATGGTGTGTAGCGATTCTCTAGTTCCTCTGTGAGCAAATTTCTAACAGGAAACCAGAAATCTGTGGGTGCGAAATTGGTGTAAAGAAAATTTGAATAAACGAATAACTTAAATAAACTAAGATGAGTTAATCCTATATCACACTGTTATAGTCCACAAGACGTGCCTGGCAAATAGGCCGTTTATTGAAAAACACTCGTTCGAAGTTTACCAAAGTTAATCAAAAGTAACAACAATTCTCATGTGCACTTGAAGACAGCCATTATTCGGACGGAGGAGGCGGGCGCGTGATTCATATGCATTCGTTCACCCTACTGCGTTTGGTTTCTATGACTTATTCGCACTCGTTATCAATCCACGATTGCAATAATTGTGTTCTGAGCAATCAACTACTTACTTATTCAATGAGCAGTATGTACTCTCCCACATACAATATAAGTTCACAGATCACTAATTTTCTGCATCTCATCGACCGCATCCGAGATTAACAAACTTTACATCACCAAGTCTATTGAATATGTTTGCATCAATTTTGTCCCTACTCGATCTGGTCACTCTTCTCAACACTATAATAACTATGCATCTCAAAAACATTGCACGTTAAGGAGCATTATCCATAAGCAACATCTAACCACCATTAAAAAAACTCCTATGCTCTACACTTTACCCAACCTCGGCAAACCTCGTTCAGGTGTCCCCGAAATAATCGAAAAAATAGTTTCGAACATAGCTATTCAAATGCAGACAATATTTCTGTTCTCTAACAGCAGAAAACGAGTAACCGACCGGTGGTACAACGCCCATGTACGATGTACTTGGTTACCGATGAATAGTTACGAAATATGGGAGAATGAGTTCAATATTATGGTATGCAACCGCGATTCGTTAAAAAATATGTTACCTCCACACCACCAAGAGACTGCACCTTGACGTAGTGTGATAGCTTGCGTGCCTCTATGACCCAAAAAATTATACAGGATGGTTTCCTTAGACCGGATATGCCATCATGACTGAAAAGTCAATGGGTACAGACCAGACGGAGTCCAGTCCTCTGGTCCTTCAGGCTGGAGGTCGATCTGAGCTGGCGATTCAGTCGGCAAAATCAATGGAGGAATAGTTGATCCAAGCACATGGGCTTCCACACAGCCACACCGCTGCCTTGTGGACAGGTTCTTGTTATAATTAAAGGCTTTGGTCGAGAACCTGCTTTGCGGCTGGACAACCTAGCAGTACCTGTCCAATATCTCCCATGAACTGCACGAGTACAAAGAATTTCATGCTGCATCGGTCGTCGAACAGGAGGATCAAGACCGCGCTACCCATTGCATCGGACGGGGTGGGTATTGATAAATGGGTTACTGCTCGGTGTGTGCTGTTCTCCGAGGCAGGTAGAGGTGATCGGTCCATGGCATGGTAAAAAAGTATGAAAACCTAGACCACGTAGAACGTGTTAGACTTCCAGGTTGCGGACCACGCGACCCAACCACCAAACGGTTGAAGACATCAGATGATATGATAAAGTGTCGCGGCCAGTGGTGTAGTTGCATTCGGATTCCTTTCTTGTGTTCGTGATTACCGCTTATTACTATGATTTTCTGAATTTTTCACTTTGTGCTTTTATTCTTTTAGCCCTGCACTCAACGATGCTGGAAGGTAGCAACCGAAACCGGACAACAGAATTGCGAGGGTAATGGTTGAATAAACTGGAACTGAAACTGGACTACTCAGAATTTCCTCTCCTTTATTAAACCTTTGTCTTCTGTCCCCAATCACGTCACTTTGTCTATTCTAACGACCCGTGATGCTCCCACTGATAATGCACCCGATTCTCGCAACGTTTCAAAGTCAAACAGTGTGGTGAATAACCCTCTGTCCTGTAACTCACATTTTCTCAAGCCTCGATTGCCTCTGAATCTCGGCTGTTTTACCGCGCGTACTCTCATGCAGGCTGGTCAGCAGATGTACCTAGCGCTCACAATAGATTCTCCGAAGATTGATGCACGCTGCGTGAGTGAAACGTCTATCCAGGATTCGAGCAGCATGATTCAACTAACTGGTCCTGGTATCGTATCGAAGTATTTCTTGTGCACCCCAAGAGACGAAGCAGCTAGAGCTGTGGGTCAACATGGCGTAGGAATAGTCTTGATTGACATAGCTGAGGCTGCTCTTTTAGACTGGGTGCTGGTTTATGTACTGTAGGACTCCTGGGGTCCGTTGACGTTCAAAAGAGTAGCTGTGTTAAGCGCGGCCTGTTTTTAATCTCAGCATACGCCCCAACAGACTGAAGCTCTGATACACAGAAGGATGAATTCTATGATAAATTCACCACTATCGTTCGCAGGAGCAAGGGACCTGACATTGCAGCGTTAGGTAGTGATTTTATTGCACAAGTTGGCAAACTTACAGTGTCAGAAGCTTGTTTATATGGGCATTGTGCCCTACCCGCCCATCGCACAGATAACGGGGATAGGCTTCTTCGGTTTTGTGCAAACAATGGGTTATTTCTGTCTTGTACAAATTTCCGACACAGCTCGAGCCACACGGCGACATAGAGCTCTAACTCTACAGGTATTTCGAGCCAGATCGATCACATCGCACTAAGCTATCGGTGGCACAGTACTGTTCAGAACTGTAGATCTTACTGGTCCACGTAAGTAGAGTCGGACTATGCATGAGTTTTAGTGCGATTATCGCTCCAGGTCCACGGTCACCGACGAAAACCGCCAACCCGGTTAGCCGTACAACGTTTCTCGGATCCTGGGATTCGCACGATTTATGAACAGAACTTTGCACATGAGCTAGGATCTACGACGAACAGTAATGCAGATGAGCACTGGACCGTATCCAACAATCAATGCACATGGTAGCAGGTTTCCCCTGTGGTCTCAGATCCGATGTTCATCAGAGACATTGGATTGTTCAAGAGTCGATCAGTCTAACGAAGAGAAAACGTCAACACTCGAACTGTAAGGAGATGAATGAGATATGGATAAAACCATATAGCAAGTTACGAAAGGCCTTTACAAGAATCGCGAAAATTAATGGGTCAGCATAGCCGAAGAAATGGATTAGCAGCTGCTCTAGGTAACGGTCAAAGACTGTTCAAACTTATTCACGACACCGGTGGACGGTGAACCGCTGTCGGCAAAACGATATGCGATAGAAATGGAGAGTCCATTCATGGCAAACAGCAAAGGCTGGACCGTTGGGGCGAATACATCAAACAGTATTTCAGCTGGTCCCGCGAGACGTCAATAACTGCGATTCCTTGGGGAATATCAATTGAAACCCATCGAAAGAAGAAGTGGAATCGAGCATTCGACTGCTAAAGCGAGGGGAGACATCCGGGCTGACGAAATACTTAGTTCTTTGCAAAAAAGGTAGTGGTGCGTTGATAAAAATCACTCATCACCTCGATCCGCGACGTTCGAAAAAGAGGAACGTAGTCCGTTATTATGGGGCAAGTTATTGGTTGTACTTATCTTCAAGAAAAGAATATACAATGATTTTAGTAACCATATTGTGATTAGCTCAATTCCGACAGTCACCAAGGTATTAGCCTCTATGTTTTGTTCGGCCCACAGTCTGAAACTAGACAAGTGTAAAATATGTATGGAATATATCTGCCCGCGTAAGGGTTCACAATCAACTATCCAGCCCATTCGAAACGAACAGCGGTGTTCAACAATGGTGTACCATTTCGCCATTTTTGTATACCCTCATCATCGATGAGATAATGGAGAATATTCAGGATGTGGGCGTCGAGCTGGCAAATGGTGGAAACTATGTGACCTAGATTACACCGAAGACCTTGTCGGCTTGTTCGAATATACGGAATACGCGCAACGTGCACTAAATAGACTAAGGTGAGCTGTAGCTCTATTTGGTATGCGCTTTGCACCTCCAAGGTGTAAAGTGATGTTGCAAGACTGGACGTCAGCAGTTCCAAGCTTGATGCTCGGTGGAGAGGTGCTGACAGTTGTCGACAGTTTCACTTACCGCGGCAGTATAGTGATGACGGGTGGGAACACGGTAATAGAAGTGAGCACATGTATATCCAAGGCTCGAGTGGCGTACGATGGACTGAAGCACTTGTGGCGTCGACCTGACATTTCGCTGAAGATGAAGGGTCGTGTGTACAGTGCCGGGATGCGTTCACTTTTGTTTTATGGTTGCGAGACTTGGGGTCTGTGTGTGGCAGATGTTCGTTGCCTTGAGGTTTTCGAGCATCGACGTTTGTGTGACATCGCTTAGATTGAAAGAGCAATGCTGCGGTCAGAAATAGAGTATCCAGCTTAGTAGACTTTGTTGGTTGGGGCACATTTTGCGGATGGCCTATCACGTCTGTCGCACAGTATCCTGTTTTCTATTTCCCCTCGGGAGTGGAAGAAGCAATGTGGAAGTCAACAGATGACTTGGCAACGGGGAGTGAGAAAATGTTCTGCGAAAATTAGAAAATTAGATGCCTCAAGTCGCCGTGGTTGGGGTCCAAAGGATCCATCTACCAGTGGGCCAGCTGCACAGAAGAA